AGCCAGCGAGGGCCCTGGGCAGCTGTACCCGCCACGTCTCGTCCTGCTGTTGCGGCAGCCGTGGCCGGCTGTGCTCCTTAGGGACATGAGTCAGAGTGTCTGTGGCAGCTGGACGGTGACGCCTGCGTCCCAGAGTGCAGCTGGCTTGTGCTTAGGCTGCTTCCTGTGTCCGACCAGCCTCCCCCAGCCTGTGAGCAAGATTTAGGATGCCCAGTCGGGGCCAGAGATGGAGCAGTGGAAGGCGCTTGCCTCGCACACACAGCCCGGCAGGAGTGAGCCCTGAGCACAGAGCCAGGAGTCAGCCTTGAGCACAAAGCCAGGAGTCAGCCCTGAGCACAGAGCTGGGAGTCAGCCCTGAGCACAGAGCCTGGAATCAGCCTTAAGCAGAGCTGGGCATGAGCCCTGAGCACAGAGCCGGGAATCAGCCCTGAGCATAGAGCCGGGAGTGACCCTGAGCACAGAGCCGGGAGTCAGCCCTGAGCACAGAGCCAGGAGTCAGCCCTGAGCACAGAGCCGGGATTCAGCCCTGAGCACAGAGCCAGGATTCAGCCCTGAGCACAGAGCCAGGAGTGAGCCCTGAGCACAGAGCCGGAGTGACCCTGAGCACAGAGCCGGGAGTCAGCCCTGAGCACAGAGCCGGGATCCAGCCCTGAGCACAGAGCCAGGAGTGAGCCCTGAGCACAGAGCCGGGAGTGACCCTGAGCACAGAGCCGGGATTCAGCCCTGAGCACAGAGCCAGGATTCAGCCTTGAGCACAGAGCCGGGAGTCAGCTCTGAGCACAGAGCCTGGAGTCAGCCCTGAGCACAGAGCCGGGATTCAGCCCTGAGCACAGAGCCAGGATTCAGCCCTGAGCACAGAGCCGGGAGTCAGCTCTGAGCACAGAGCCTGGAGTCAGCCCTGAGCACAGAGCCAGGATTCAGCCCTGAGCACAGAGCCGGGATTCAGCCCTGAGCACAGAGCCGGGAGTCAGCCCTGAGCACAAAGCCTGGAATCAGCCCTAAGCAGAGCTGGGCATGAGCCCTGAGCACAGAGCCGGGAATCAGCCCTGAGCATAGAGCCGGGAGTGACCCTGAGCATAGAGCCGGGAGTCAGCCCTGAGCACAGAGCCGGGAGTCAGCCCTGAGCACAGAGCCAGGATTCAGCCCTGAGCACAGAGACGGGATCCAGCCCTGAGCACAGAGCCGGGAGTCAGCCCTGAGCACAGAGCCGGGAGTCAGCCCTGAGCACAGAGCCGGGAGTCAGCCCTGAGCACAGAGACGGGATCCAGCCCTGAGCACAGAGCCGGGAGTCAGCCCCGAGCACAGAGCCGGGAGTCAGCCCCGAGCACAGAGCTGGGAGTCAGCCCTGAGCACAGAGCCGGGAGTCAGCCCTGAGCACAGAGCCGGGATTCAGCCCTGAGCACAGAGCCGGGATCCAGCCCTGAGCACAGAGCCGGGAGTCAGCCCTGAGCACAGAGCCGGGAGTCAGCCCTGAGCACAGAGCCGGGAGTCAGCCCCGAGCACAGAGCTGGGAGTCAGCCCTGAGCACAGAGCCGGGAGTCAGCCCCGAGCACAGAGCTGGGAGTCAGCCCCGAGCACAGAGCCAGGAGTCAGCCCCGAGCACAGAGCCGGGAGCAAACCCGAGCACCCCTGGCCTGGCTAGCCTCTCTAGCCGCCTCCTCAAGGAAACGAAAGAAGAACAAAGGCCGCCGTCACGGTCCCCGCCAGACAGTCACGGCTGGCAGCTGGCCCAGGCTCATGGGGCGGGTCTGTCCCTTCCCTGCAGGGCGCGGGGAGCACACAGGCTCTCGCCACGCAGGAAGGAGGCCCGGGGACCCCCCACCCGAGGGCCCAGCTGCCCCGGGACCACCCGCTTCCTTCCCTCCTGCGTGGGGACCGCAGGCCCGCCCGTGGATTCAGATTCAGGCTCTGGAGAATGAAGGTGTGACGGGTCTGGGCTCTTGGGCCACTCCCGGCAGTGCTCGGGGCCCCTGTGGTGCCAGGGGTCGGCCTCGGGGCTTCACGCACACACGGCAAGTGCTCGGCCACTGAGGAGCCTCCTTGGGCCCCGACAGATGATGCTTCGAGGCTTAAAGACTGTGGTGGGACCCCAGAACCCCCGAGGGCGCGTCCCACCTGTGCCCAGGCCCTGGGGAGGCTGGGGACGCCCTCAGGAACTGGCCCCTCGCCAGGCCTGGAAGGGGCTAAGGGCAGAGGGAACTTTTTTTTTTTTGCTCTTTTTTGGGTCACACCCGGCGATGCTCAGGGTTCCTCCTGGCTCTGCACTCAGGAATGACTCCGGGCGGTGCTCAGGGACCCTATGGGATGCTGGGAATCGAACCCGGGTCGGCCCACCCTCCCGCTGTGGTATCACTCCAGCCCCGCAGAGGGAACTTTGTTCTTCCCTGGCCAGAGTTTGTTCCTGGGCTGCGGGAGCCCCGAGCTAGGGGGAGTGTGGGGGGCTCCCGGCCCGTGGCTCCCGGCCCGTGGCGCCCCAAGAAGGGGGGTCCAAGGTCAGCGGCCAAGCGGACCCTCCCAGGGACCCGCCCCTGCCCCTCCTGCCGAAGCCTGCCCACCCGACACCTTTCTCACCCCAGGTGCCTGGGGCACCCCAAGGGGCTCCACTGTTCATCCTGGCCCTCTGGGTCACTGCCCGTTTCTTCCTTGTTCTCTTCCGTGATAAAGACCCTGTCTGGTGTGTGTGTGGGGGGAGATGGTCTGGGAGGAGGCTGGCCCAGCCCCCCACCTCCACCACCCCCCATGGGCCCCCAGGGCTGCAGAGCTGTGAGGAGCCCCTGGGCACAGCCTGGTGTGGCCCAGACCCCGCGTGGCAGCAGCGAGTGACCCCCGGAGGCGGACACACAGGGCTGCCCCCTGTATGAGGCAGCCAGAAACACCTCCCCAGCCCTGAGTCCTCTTGGGCAGCCCTGGGCGCCCCTCCCGGTTCCTCCTTCTCACGCCCTGTGTGTCGCAGTTCCGCTGCCCTGGTCGCTCTCAGGGCCCCCAGGGGCCGATGCCGGAAGAGCATTGGGGGCACCAGGGGGGGAACAGGTGGGGTGGGGGGGGGGGCGTTGCCCTGAAACGCGTCCAGGCGAGGGTGCAGGGTCCGCTGGCTGGAGATAAGCGGGGTGGGTGCAGGGTCCACCTTTGGTCCCGGGACGGGACGGAGAGCCCTTGCCCGGCCTCTCTGTGACTCACGACCGCCCCCCCCCGGGGCCTGGCACTGCGCCCAGACTGAGGCAGAGAATTGCACCAGGGCTAGAGGGGCCAAGCGGGCGGGGGGGAGGGGGGGGCGAGAGTGCCGCGCAGTCTAGGAGATTGGAAGGGGTGGACTTCATCCTTCTAGAAGGATCCGCGCTCCATCGGGGCGCCCGAGCCCCAGCCCAGATGCCGGGCTCTGGAGGGGCCCCTGCATGGCCATCCCCCGCTGCTGGGGGAGCTCAGGGCAGGGGCCGCAGCCCTGCCTGGGGCGGTGGAGGGGGACGGGGGTGGGGGGGCGCTGTAAGGCCCCAGGACCGGGCGTGAGAACAAGACGCTGTACCAGGCTCTTCACTGAGTCTCTGGCCGTTAGCTTCACGCGTGGGGCGGCGGCTGGCGTGGGACTGCCCGGCCCAGGCAAGGCAGCTCCAGGGGGTCCCCAGAGGCAGCCGCGGAAGGGGAGTCGCCCCAGACAGCCCGAGTGAAGTCTCCCATGCAAGCTGGAAAACCGCCGTCCCGCAGACAGGGCGGCTCAGAGGGCAGCGCTGTGGGGTCGCGGGGCGCTGGGCTGGGCGGGGCGTGTGGACGTGGGCATGGCCGCAGACCAGCCGGGCTCACGGGGGATCCGCAGGCCCCTCGAGGACCCCGAGGTGCTGGGGGCGAGTGTAGAGCGGGCAGCTGTCCTGTTCTGCGCTGGGGGGCGAGGCGGCCAGGGGTGCCGGGCCAGGGGCAGGCGGGAGCAGATGCCGGGAGGAGGTGGGAGCCCTGTGTGTGTGTGTGTGTCTGTGTCTGTGTTGTGCACTTGTGTGTGAGGTGGCTGTGTGTGTGGCCGCTGTGTGAGTGCATGTGTCTGAGTGCATGTCTGTGTGTGAGTGTGTGTGCACTTGTGCGCCTGAGTGTGTGCACATGCATGTGTGTGTCTGTGTGTGTCTGTGTGTGTGTGGCAGCTGTGTGTGTATGCATGAGTGTGTGTATGTGTGACAGCTATGTGTGTGTGTCTGTGTTGTGCACATGTGTGTGCGGCTGCTGTGTGAGTGCATGTGTCTGAGTGCATGTCTGTGTGTGAGTGTGTGTGCACATGTGTGCACATGCGTGTGTGTCTGTGTGTGTGTGGCAGCTGTGTGTGTATGCATGAGTGCGTGTGAGTATGTGTGACAGTTATGTGTGTGTGAGTGTGTGTCTGTGTGTGAGTGTGTGTGCACATGTGTGCACATGTGTGTGTGTCTGTGTGTGTGGCAGCTGTGTGTGTATGCGTGAGTGCGTGTGAGTATGTGTGACAGTTATGTGTGTGTGTCTGTGTGTGTGCAGCGGCTGTGTGAATGTGTGTGTATCTGTGAGTGCACATGTGTGCACACGTGTGTGTGTCTGTGTGTGTGGCAGCTGTGTGTGTATGTGTGAGTGTGTGAGTATGTGTGACAGTTATGTGTGTGTGTGTCTGTGTGTGTGTGCAGCGGCTGTGTGAACGTGTGTGTATTTGTGAGTGTGTGTGCCTGTGTGAGTGTGTGTCTGTGTGTGTATGTGCGGTAAGCTGTGTGAGTGTGGGTCACGCAGGCAGCCGGGGGGGCGGGTTCGAGGGCGCCTGCGTCACTCTGGGCTCCTGAGTTTTGGGAGTTTCCTGGCGCCTGGTCCTTCCTGCGGGCACCGTGTCCCTGGCCGCTGTGGCCAGCGCTGCCCTCCCTGACCCCTGGCTGGGCGTGACCTGCCCCCTCCCCGGCCAGGGAGGGTGGGGCGGGGCGGCTCCTGGGGCCGAGGGCGGGCCGGGGCGGGCGGGCGGAGAAAGCTCCCGCTCCCTGCCGGTGGACCTGGCCCCGCCGCTGAGCAAACACGCCGGGCAGGGCCGGGGCGGCGGCCGGCGCAATGATTAACCGCAGGAAGCCGGCGGAGACGCTCGGGTCGGTCGGGTGACAGCTCCGGCCGTGGCTCCCGGGCAGAGCGACCTCCGCAGCCGCCCGCGGGGACGGTGGGTGCCGGGCGCGCCGGAGGCAGCGTGGATGCGGCCGGCAGAAGGGCCGAGGCTGGACGAGGCTCCCGCGGGGCCCGAGAGTGCTGAGTGCCCGCCCCCGGCGGCGGCCGGCCCGCGCGGGCCATGGGCTCCTGGAAGCCGGGGCTGTTCGTCGTGTCTCTGGCCTCGGCCCTGGTCTTCGTCGTGGTTTACCACCAGCAGCTCCGGGAGGAGAGACGTTTCCTGCAGGCGTCCCTGGCCAATGCCTCCCTCCTGGTGGACGTCTGCCGGCAGGTCCTGGCGGGGAAGGCGTTCGCCCTCTCGGAGAACGCCCTGCGGACCCCGCCAGTCTCCCCCGACTGCCCTGAGTACGTGTCCCGCGGCCACTACCTGACACAAGCCCTGTCGGCCGAGGAGGCCGCCTTCCCGCTGGCCTTCATCCTCACCGTGCACAAGGACTTCGGCACCTTCGAGCGGCTCTTCCGTGCCATCTACATGCCCCAGAACGTCTACTGCGTGCACGTGGACGCCAAGGCCGCCCCCGCGTACCAGGCCTCGGTGGCCCGCCTGCTCAGCTGCTTCCCCAACGCCTTCCTGGCCTCCCGCGCCGAGTCGGTGGTGTACGCCGGCTACTCGCGGCTGCAGGCCGACGTCAACTGCCTGCGGGACCTGGCGGGCTCGGCCGTGCCCTGGAAGTACGTGCTCAATACCTGCGGCCAGGACTTCCCGCTGAAGACCAACCGGGAGATCGTCCGGCACCTGAAGGGCTTCCGGGGCAGGAACGTGACCCCCGGGGTGCTGCCGCCGGCCCACGCCGTGGGGAGGACCAAGTTCGTGCACCGGGAGCACCGGGGCAAGGAGGTGTCCTACGTGATCCGGACGGAGGCCCGGAAGGCGCCCCCGCCCCACAACCTCACCATCTACTTCGGCTCGGCCTACGTGGCCCTGACCCGGGAATTCGTCAGCTTCGTCCTTGGGGACCCGCGCTCCCGGGACCTGCTGCTCTGGTCCGAGGACACCTACAGCCCCGACGAGCACTTCTGGGTGACGCTCAACCGCATCCCAGGTACGCACGCCCCGGGCCGGCTGGGGGCTGGGGGTTGGGGGCAGCGTCCGTCCCCACACACACGCACCCCACCCCCACCCCGGCTGCAGCCTGGCTCAGCTCCCGGCTGTGCCCCTTCCCTCCATCCTGCCGGAGGTGTCTGTGGCTGTGACCGTGTGGGAGGGCACGGCTGGGAGGGTGGCCCTCACCCGACTCGACGCCCGACTAGTCCCCTCGAAGTCGGGAGGGATCAGAAACACGCCCGGCAGCGGGAACCTTCTCATCGTCCGGGCCCTCTTGATTCGTCTGTTTGGTTTTGGGGTCACACCCGGCGATGCTCAGGGCTGACTCCCGGCTCTGCCTGCGCTCAGGAATCACTCCTAGCGGTGCTCGGGGGGACCCTGTAGGATGCCGGGGATCCAACCTCGGTGGGCACGTGCCGGGCAAACGCCCTCCCTGCTTGTGCTGTCGCTGAATGGGCCGTCTCTGCCCTCTTGAAGGTCCCCTGGGGAGACTCGCACCCTTTCTGCATAGGCCAGGGTGCAGGCGAATTAGCACCATTAGCGAGTTCTTCCCTGGGGCCGAGCCCCCAGTTACAGCTCCTCGGAGGTGTCAGCGCGCGTTTCTGGGTGTCCCCCGCGGGATCGTAGACCACCTTCCCCGGCCCCGTGCTGGGGGCCTTTGGTGAGGTTGACTCCCCCCCGTCTGTGGTCCGAGTCTCCGAGTGATTCCCTGATCCCGGCTCGTTTCCAGCGAACCGGTTCAGTTTGGCTCACTCAGTTCAGAGTAAAAGTCCACGCTGGTGTTTCGAGGGAAGAGCGTGGAATCAGAGAGGCTGGGCGCACGCGTCCTGGGGGTTCTGCCTAGCCTGGATGCATGACAGTCACCTGCGGCTCGGGGGGACGTGGGTGTTATTCAGGCCACCTCCAGGGGCCACCTGCAGGGGCTCCGGGATGTCAGAGAGCTCCGTGAGGGGGCTGGTGTCCCACGTTGGCTGGGCAGAGTGTGCGGGACCCTCAGGGCTGCTGTAGGCATTGGGGTCCCACGCCGAGTGGACCCCAAGGGCGGTTCCATCTCTGCCGCCCTTGGGGCTGGAAGGGCCCTGCAAGGGGGATGTGATACCCAGGACTGGTGGGCAGGAAGTGGGGGATGAGGACCCGCAGTCTGGAGGAGGTTTGACCACGTGGAATATAGACTTGGGGGCCCAGGCACCCCAGGGAGGCGCCACCAGCTGGACCCCCGAGGGCCGTATCTCGTACTTGTGTAGTGACGGAGTTTGCTTGCCAGTGACGCTGCTGAGCGCGTCTTCAGGCAGAAGGGCAGGAGATGCAGTTGCGTCCGCACAGACCACGCGTGACGTGGCCGTGGCCTGAAGTAGCGGCCCAGAACAGGGGCTCAGAGCGTTTTTTTGTTGTTGTTCTTTTGATTTTTGGGTCACACCCGGCGATGCTCAGGGCTTCCTCCTGGCTCCGCGCACAGGAATGATTCCTGGCGGTGCTCGAAGGACCCTATGGGATGCCGGGGCTCGAACCCGGGTCGGCTGCGTGCAAGGCCAACGCCCTCCTCCCCGCTGTGCTGTGGCTCCAGCCCTTCAGCGCGTTCAATAGGGGTCTTCCTGGCAGTGACAGCCGAGGGGAGACAGAGAAGGGCAGAGAGTGAGTTTTTCCGTCTGTTTCTCAGGTACTGCCACGGCTCCCCGGGCGCGGCCAGGCCTTTGTTCCGGGCATGTGGCCTGGCTGTTCTGGGGTGGGTGTGGACATTCCCCTCTCCTCGCGTCAGTGGCCCCGACCCCTTCCCGCCCAGGTGCCAGCTCCGCGCGGGCCCTTCTGTCCCGGCTCATTCATCCCTCGTGCCCCTCCCAGAGGGGCCCTCGAACCCCTGCCTCTCTCGCCCACCCACGCAGAGACCGGTCTGCGCCCTCCCCCGTGCACCCAGGCGGACGGGTAGACCAACAACCCCCTCGTAAAGGAGAAAACGCATTTCCTAAGCCAGGAGCACCCACGCTAGGGGTCCGCGAGGGTCCGAGTTGCAGCTGTGACTTTCCCCACGTCGTCACTCTTGGTCGTGACTGCAAAACCAAAGGAAATGAAACAGGACCAGAGAGACGGGACAGTGGGCCCGGCGCTGCCACCCCGGGTTCAGGCCCCGGCGCCCCACCCGAGCACTGAGCCGAGAGTAACCCTGAGCACTACGGGGTGCGGCCCCCCCAACAAAGCAGAACAAAGAAACGCAGAAGGCTCAGAGACCAGCCTGTCTGGTTTGGTTCCAAAAGACTGTGACGAATAAGAACAATTTTAATCTGGGAAGGATTTAAGGGTTTCTGCACAGAACCGAGAGCACAGCCTGGGCCCAGGGAGACGAAGGGCTGGCACGCCGGCGGGCGCGGGGTCCCGAGACCCCCCACCCCCACCCTGCGGACCGTGCCTCTGTCAGGCCCCAGCAGGGAACCCCCAGGAGGCACTGCAGGGCCAGGCGCTGCCGGGCGGCCCCCGGCTGGGAACCCAGGAGGTGCCCCCCCAAGGTCTCCCGAAGACCCTTGGGGCCATCTGCAGCGGGGAGGGGGGAAGTCAGGCTGCGGGGGGACCCCCATCCCCACAGAGGTGCAGATGCGGGGCTGGACGGCCGCAGGGAAGCCCTCCCCGGCCGCGCCCCCAGCGACGGTCAGCAGAGCAGTCAGCGGTCAGTGCGCTCCAAAGGCCACGGTCTCCACGGTCTCAGGACTGCCTAGGGTGGGGGAGGGTGGAGTAGTGCCGTGCTGGTCTGGGGAGCTGGGGCGGATGTGTGTGTGTGTGTGTGTGTGCGTGTGTATGTTTGTGTGTGTGGGTGTGTGCATGTGTGGGTGCGTGTGTATGTGTGTGTTTGTGTGCGTGTGTGTGTCTATGTGTGTCTGTGTGCATGTGTGTGCCTATATGTGTGTCTGTATGTGCGTGAGTGTGCGCGTGTGTGGGTGCGTGTGTATGTGTGTGTTTGCGTGCGTGTATGTGTCTGTGTGTGTATGTGTGTGCGTGTGTGTGTGTGTGTGTACGTGTGTGCAGCCCCTGAGGTGAGTCAGCTGAGACATGGGCATCTGGGCTGGGTCCCCCCTCACCACGGCCATGAGGTCGCCTGTCTTCAGGGGCAAGTGTTTAGGTGGGTGGTTTGCTGGGTGGTTTGGGACGTTTAGGATTGTTCTTTTTTGGGGGGGGCACACCCTGCAGTGCTCGGGGATTGCTCCTGGCAGTGCTCGGGGGCCAGACGGGGACACCTGCCTTACGCCTGCCTTGGTCCCCCTCTAAGGCTGTGGTGGGTTTTTTTTGCTTTTTTTTTTTTTTGCTTTTTGGGTCACACCCGGCGATGCACAGGGGTTCCTCCTGGCTCTGCACTCAGGAATGACTCCTGGCGGTGCTCAGGGGACCATATGGGATGTTGGGAATCGAACCCGGGTTGGCCGCGTGCAAGGCCGACGCCCTCCCCGCTGTGCTATTGCTCCAGCCCCCCTAAGGCTGTTCTTGCGTGGAACATTTAGATTTGAGCTTCGGCTGCCGGGCTTGACGGGTGGGTTGGTCTCTGTGGTCGGAGGCCCAGTGAGGCTGTCAGGGAAGCAGCAGCCGGATCTGCACAGGCTCGGGCAGCCTCATTCAGGAGCGAGTCTGTTGATAAATGGAAACAGGTGTGCGGGTTTTGTGACCAACGTCTCCAGCTCCCAGGGCGTCGGGGATGGGGACCTCCCCCCCTCCCTGTTCTTCCGGGCGCCTGGCACTCACGCCCATGAACTGCCTCTGGCGCCATGTAAGCTCATTAACGACCCCGGTCCGGTCCGGAGACTCACAAGTAAATCTCAGGAGAGCAACAAGCTGCAGAGCTGCCTCAGACCCCAAAGCCACCATCCAGTTAAACGTCATCTCCAGCCAAAGCCTCAGAACTCCTGGGGGAGCACGCGCCCCTTCTCGTGGGCCGTGGCATCCTCCGAGCCCCGGGCAGCCTCTCCCCCCTCCTCCTCTGGGGGGGGGGGCTTTCCCTTCATCCCCACATCGTGCCGCAGTGACTCACCTGCTGCTTCTGCGGTGACTCCGCCTTGCCCAGGAGCCCTGGTGCGCCACGGCTCTGCGTCTGCAGGACGACCATCGCTGACCCAAGGCAGAGCTTGTCCCAGGGGAAGCCTCAAGAGTCAGCGCCGTTTTCCTTACCTGCATGACCTTGAGTGGGTGCACGATGATGTGTGTGTGAGGGTGTGTGAGTGTGTGTGAGAGTGAGTGTGTGCAGGCGTGTGTATGTGAGTGCCTGAGACTGTATGTGTGAGTGAGTGTATGTGTGAGTGTGTGGGTGTGTGTATGTATGTATGTACACGTGTGTAAGTGTGTATGTGTGTGTGTAAGTGTGAGAGTGAGTGTGTGCAGGCGTGTGTGTATGTGAGTGCCTGTGTGAGTGTATGTGTGAGTGTGTGGGTGTGTGTATGTATATGTGTGTGAGTGTGTATATGTGAGTGTGTGTGTTTGCGAGAGTGTGTGGGGGTGAGAGTGTAAGTGTGAGAGTGAGTGTGTGCAAGTGTGAGTACCTGTGTGAGTGTGAGTGTGTGTGAGTGTATGTGTGAGTGTGTGCGTGTTTGTGAGAGTGTGAGTGTGAGTGAGTGTGAGCGTAGAGGGCTTTGCCCACACCCAGCGGTCCTTGGGGCCTACTCGTGCTCTTGGCCCTGGGTCACTCCTGGGGCGGCTCGGGGGACCGTAGGGGCTGCCTGCCGGGGTCCGCTGTAAGCCAGGCAGGTGCCTGACCCAGTCCTGTACGATGACGGTGCGTGTGTCGACGTGCTCGCCTGGTTCGGATCGCAGCGCCTGGGGGTTGTGGAGGTTTCGGACCCTGACTGCCACTCTCTGTGCTTAAGATCCCGCTGGTGGAGGCGGGGCCAGGGCAGAGCAGCCTCCCTCCTGCGCCCACCGAGGCGGGTCAGGCAGGGGCAGCTCAGAGGCCCGGGGGCTCCGCGCGGGCGGCAGGGTTGGTGCCCCCGAGTCTGTGCTGACCTGGGTCCGGCCCTGGTTCCTCTGAGC